GGGGTGATAGGGGGTAAGGGAAATTCACAAGGTGAAAAATTATGTCATTTCCAGGTTGAAATAAAAGTAAGAATGGGAGAGATCAAACATCAGTAGTAGTAGTAGTAGTAGTCCTAGTCGTAGTCCTAGTCGTAATGGTAGTAGTAGTGGTCGTAGTAGTAGTAGTAGTAATGATGATAATAATAATGCTTTTCCCTTATGGAAAAGATGACCTAATTATTAAATGTGTTTAATTTAAAATCTATGGAAGTGGGAAATATAATACTAAACAAATGAAAATTGATTAATATATCCTATCTTGATATGAAATGATGAATACATTATTGAATTTAGATGGTGGTTGGAGGTAGTCAACAGGAAACTCTGGACCGGGGTTTCGTGCTACTTGGCACTCGTCAGCAAGGTGTACCTGTAATCTTGAGGGAACTGATGCTCCCTGGCGGATTCGATCTCGTGTCACCCAGCTTCACAGTCAGAGACGTTACCACTGAGCTATTAGAGCCGTGACTAACCTCCTGTAGGACTGAGATGGAATCACAATTGATTGATCACTGGGTGGTGATCAATGTCATGCTTGTCTAGTCCTTATTAGTGCAGATCGAATGCTATCGATCATGTTGCAGGTACACCTTGCTGACGAGTGCCAAGTAGCACGAAACCGGGGTCCAGGGTTTCCTGTTGACTACCTCCAAGCACCATCTAAATCTTAATACATAGTGCCCGCAGTGTCGAGTCACCTAGACTGTTGGCCACATTGCAACATGATCGATAGCATTCGATCTGCACTAATAAGGACTAGACAAGCATGACATTGATCACCACCCAGTGATCAATCAATTGTGACATTATTGAATATCAGATGGGTTTTGTGGATGTTCTAGTAATCTCAATGGTTAAGATCATGAGTCAATTGAAGCAATTTCAATTTCATAGTTGAAGAGAAGACAAAGAGTGTATACACCTACACCATTGTGATCGATTCTGAGCCATGTCAACCAGAGTCTCCAACCATTGGTTTCGATAGACACACAGACCCCAACCAAGTAGTCCACTAGAAGTTAGTGACCTCTTCTCCGTCCCTAACTTTCTTCTAGTCGACTTCAACACTGGTCAGTATTGCACGCCGTCGTTAACGGTATTCAGGAATATGTAACACGTGGCCCAACCACCTCAGTCAATGAAGATTTACAACTTTATGAACTAATCTACCATCAATCCCTAATACCGTGCGTCTGACTTCATTATTACTTAAACGGTAATCTATTTATGGACTAATACTATGCGTATATTCTTATTGTATAATTGTTAAGTTAATAAAGTATAAATATTTATATTCCTCTTATTATGAGCTTTATTTTGACCCATAGACTATTATTATACGATTTACCGTTCTTGAGTTATGCCCAGTCTATTAATGACAGTCTACCACATTCATAGCCATTTTATGGTATGATGTGGTCTGCTTGGTTTGTATATAAACCCAGTATGTTTAAAATACATGATTAATATATCAGAGGCTGAGATTGATGTTCTGGACTGAACAGACAGGCAGGACTAGTCAGGAAGAAGAAGTGATAAAGACTCTAGACTGCTCGTACGGTTTTACGCGTCATTGGTCCGGCTCTCTAACTGACGGTATCATTACGTTATATAAATTGATGGGGGCACAAGGCCACAAGTTATAACATAGATTTGTAGAGCAAGTGAAATGTCATTGAACCCTAGACAAATCAACCTGAATTTGAATCACTGAATATCGAGCAGTTCATTGATCTTTTTTTTAAGGTCAAGGACAACCAACGCCAACCAGTTAATCTCACGCCATGAACTGACCCATGCGGTGGTGGCCACACTTTCACTTGTACCTGCTCTAACTAATATGTTTCTGTAATAACGTCCTTTGTGTTGTACGGTCTTCAAAGCATCCATAGTATCTTCGAATTTACCTGTTAATTACACCATTCCTGTCTGACTTTCGACAAAGATCATCTAAGTTAGTGACCTACCGATTACATGTTTGTGAATTTGTGGTACAACTTCAGTTTAATGTATCTGATATTCAGCTCTGTTAACTTCTAGTGTAGACTTCATTATCTATTAATTGTGATCAATTTCTTCCTATAATCAATTAAAATGCATCATATATGTCTACTGCGTTAGCGTTTTATTAGCGAGTTAATTTTCTACCGAATGAGGTCGCTAACCCCATGCCCAACCCTCTTCTTTTATCCGGGTTTGGGACCGGCAGTAGCCCCAGAGATTCCCCAGGTGGAGGAAAGGAAGGCCCAGGACAGAGTGAGTTGGAGAATGCTGCTCGGCGGCCTATACTCCATCGGAAATAACAGGCGTAAGTAATGAAGTAAGTAAATATGTTTCTACTCAGTTGTTTGCTTCATTTTCCACTCACTTTTCTAACCTCCTGATCTTTTGACATACGGTTATCTGTTCGCCCTACCAATGTAATAGTGTGTCTTTAGACTAGACGTAAACTAACTAGATGTTAAATTTTACCGTGTCAGTTAACATTCGATTTAGTAAGCTTAATTCTTGTAAGAAAAATATTTTTCAGTGTACACTTAACAAAACCAATGTTTCCAGGTTTCCCACGGTGGTCTACCTTCAATTTACTCATGATCTTTACCATGGAAAAAGAATTATTTGTAAAATGCTCATATCTTCTGATGCAGATTCTCTTGAATCTTCACATTGATCTTTAGGGCTGCATACTTTTCGTATTGCTTCAATATAAGTTTAATACACAAGCAATCTAAGCAAAGATGGATAGTGGTTAGCAGTGTAATCCAAGACGAGTATTTCGTTCTATTCAGGACTCGTCAGCTGGATGTACCTACATCTTAAAGTTGATGTACACTGTGGGACTCGAACCCAGTACCTTTCATTTAAAACGCCATCTCGTGATCCACTTAACTACTGAGTTCTGAATTAGTTCCGTGTTATTTTTAAAATTAAGACTTAATTAAATCAATTCATTACTGATATATTGTTTACATTGCAGACTCAATATAGTTCAATGGCCCTCAAAAACTAGAAATCATTTAGCAGTTGTTTCATATTATTAGGAGACTCCCCAGAAGTATGAATTAGGGAATTCGTTAGAGGTAGATAAATTATCTGTTTTGGTGATTTATTTACTTTCGTGAATGACCAATGAACAACAGGATTTTATTACCCATCAAGAAATTTTCAAGTTCCTGGACAGGTTAAAGCGCATTCTATAAAATCATTGATTGCAATTGGGAATTCATGGCAGGAAATATGCGAACTTCCTATAAAACTCTAGTTTCATAAGTATTCGACTTGTGAATATTCTAACGAAATGTATAGGAAAAGTTTCTAAATAGTGATTAGATACCATTCACATTCATCTTTAAATGTCTACAATTAGTCCGGCTACCATGACACGATGTACGATTACTTAACTATGTGGTTTTCTTCAGTAAACAGTCGAACAGGAAAACTTACCGACCTATATGGTGATAATCCTTGGGTTCATGATAGATTGTAGATCTTTTACAAAAGCTGGTAACAGACAATTAAGAAATTAAAATAAATCTGAATGAAATCAAGAGTCAATTGTAGCTAGACCACCATGGGAAACCTGGAAGTACTGGACGGCCGTTTCGCCCTAGTATGGGACTACTCAGCAGTGCGCATCCACGATCCCGCACCCCGCGAGATTCGAACCCAGGATCTATCAGTTTCGCTGCAGGAGCTTAGCCAACTAGATCACTGAGCCAATGGTGTTAATCTCTAACTTCAACCAATCCACGAATGACTTAAGTTTATGTTCTTTAATGCATGTGATGAAAAACACTGATCTAGACATTTGAGCAGATTGTTTACTTAATTACAACATATACAAAGCATCCATCATATTTATTAAATCTATAAAAGAAAACATTGAATATTGACAAAACATTTGTGGAGATCGTAGTAATTGCAACCATTCATCTATTGTGTGAGGTAGATAGCTATCTCTATCTGACATGGATTGAGCTCCAATGGTCACAGTTTCTCACTAGAACTCCTGGTATTCATCTTGAAGCTAGCCACTAGTAAGCATATGATGATTATGATCAGAATGAGGTTTGTGGAAATTGTAATAATTCTAATAGTTAAATTTCACAGGTTGTGATCATGAGTCAGTTGAAGCTAGACCACCATTGAAAACCTGGAAGCACTGGACGCCCGTTTCGTCCTGATGTGGGACTCCTCAGCAGTGCGCATCCACGACCCCGCACCACGCGGGACTCGAACCCAGGACCTACTGGCTTCGCGCGCGAGCACTTAACCTTTAGACCACTGAGTCGGCGTCTGACGGTGTTAATGTCTAACTTCAACCAATCCACGAAGTTGCGCCACCGTACACCATTGTCTTCAGTGAGTTGTTATCTCACAACAGACCTGGTTGAACTCCACTGGTGACGGCTTCTCACTAGAACTCCAGGAGGTTCTCCTGAAGTCAGTCGCTAATGAGCAGTTGATTATTATCAGAATGAGTTTTGTGGAGATTTTAGTAAATTTCACACGTTGTAATCATGAGTCAGTTGAAGCTAGACCACCAATGAAAACCTGGAAGCACTGGACGATCGTTTCATTCTAGTCCTGAGTTGGAATCCCACATGTGGAATTGTGGACGCACACTGCTGAAGAGTCCCATATGAGGATGAAATAGTCATCCAATGATTTCAGGTTTTCAATAATGCTCTAACTTATATCAACTATTTGAAATAAGTTTTTTTCTTCTATTTTTATCCCAATCATAAATCTGATTGGTCAATTTATTAACAACCAATCAAATTTAGAATAAAAATGATGAATGGGTAAATAAATTAAACTACACTCCCATTTTAATTCCATATAGAAATATATTCATCATCTACTTATTATTATTAATCATTGACAATCTAATCACTATCCAATTCAATTATTCAATCATCCATTGTACATAAAATACTTTTTTTCGGGGGGGGGGGGAGAAAGGAACTATACTTATCCTACTACTCATATGTATATATCAGCAGTATATTAGACAAAACAAAACAAACATATTATGTAATCAATCTTAACTGGGGTATATTCTTCAATAAGAGATAAGAATAAACATATTTATATAATAGAAAAGAAAATTATACATTTAAAGATGTGGTTCCTTATACAATGTATTCATATCTACTTATTAGTACAATGTAATACAGATGCCGTTAAAGGTAATTTTATGTATTTCATTTGTTTTTAAGTGTTTTAATAAGTAGTATGTATTTTACTTTTTCTTTATTACAAGAAAGTATCTAAATGCCCTGGTATGACCGAGTGTGAGTAGAGTCAGTTCTCCCCATTGAAATCCCAAGCTCCCAATTTTGGGGAAAATTTGGGGAAGCCGCTATTGTAAATTTTGGGGAAATGGCACAAAAACCCCAAAATTTCCCCACACGTTGGGAAAGTTTCCCCGAAATTCCCCAAAGTTGGGAGCTTGGGATGCTCTCACATGGATATGTGTATATAGTCGCTGCCAAGGAAGTCCTGGGGTGTTGTTTACGAAATTGAGATGATGAAAAGCCAATGTTCGGTGTTTTAACCGGGTTGATGGATATGGAGGATCCATCTAGGGGGAATTAGAGAATCCTCATTCCAAACTGATGGTGTAACTGAGCTCCAGGAACCTGGAAGAATAGATGGTGTATAAACCAATTATTGGTCACTGAATACCATGGGACTGCATCTCCTAACGTTGCTCCACTGCCTTGTGGATCAGATCTTCAGGTCGAAGGCGACGGGATTGTCTCCCTATATAAACCACCTGTTTCGGTCTAGTAGCTCGGGCAGTATCACAACCTACACACACAATTGAAGTGACTTGTATGGCGCATATCTATTCGGTACCCCTTCGTACCAATATTTATGTGTTCAAATAAATAAATGATAAATATTACAAGAAAACCCTTCATTCGAAATATACTTGTCTAATGACCTATTTGGAAATCAGTTTATGAAGTTTTAATGAGAAGTTATGAATGGTATTCATGAAAATTATTGAATAGCTTATTTTGCAATGGATATTCACAATTTCACCAAGGGTAAAGGTCAGACATTTCATGACTCATAGTAGTTAAATGTTAGTTCCTTGATCAAATTTTAAATTGTACAACTCAAACTTCCATCAATTTGAAGTATAGCATGAAGACTATACAATCCAACTGATGACAACTCTTAGTTATTCCAGAGTTGTCCGAATAAGTTGAATGAGGTGAACCTTGTAATCAGTTGAGGTTATTTTCTAACCCAAACAAATGGTTTACTAAGAGGGCCACACCCCGAGACTTCAACCTGAAGGTTTGATCCACAAAGCACTGGAGGAATTTGAGGAGATGTAGTCCCATGTTAGCCGATGACCAATAATTTGTTCACACACCATTTGTTCCCTCAGGATACTGGATTCGATGTACACCAGTTTGGAATCAGTTTTTCAACTCACCTACGTGGATCCTCCACATCCACTAATCCGGTTAAACCACCGGACATTCGCTTTTCATCCTCTCGATTTCGTAAACAGTAGTAATGCCTTGAGAGGGTAGTGAGTAGGGCTTCCCTGGTAGTGGTTGTATGCAAGTGTTCATTTGAGACCATTTCCAGAGAGAGAGAATTGAATCTCCCCACTCTCTTCCGTACTAGAGTATTTGAGGGCTATTTTGCAATGTCTGAGATTATTCATCTCACATCTAAGATTATCGTACCTTATTCGATCTTTCACCTAGCAATGATCAAGTTATTTATAATGTATATTAAACATTGAATTGACTTACCGATATTTGTTACTTCCAGCGACACGGTACAGAAAATTTTTCTTATGCACGAGCGGAAACATTTGCATAGTTGGATCGGTATATTCATTCAAACTAATTAACTTAATGAGTCCCAATCAAACATTTATTTATTTATTCATCTTGGAAACATCAGTTTCCAGATTAATTATTGTGCAGGGAATAGCTTTTTCACAGGTTGAAATCATTAGTCAGTTGAAGCTAGACCACCATTGTAAACCTGGAAGCACTGGACGGCCGTTTCGTCCTGGTATGGAACTCCTCAGCAGTGCGCATTCACGATCCCGCACTACGCGGGGCTCGAACCCATGATCTACTGGCTTCGCGCGCGAGCACTTAACCACTAGACCACTGAGCCGGCATCTGACGGTGTTAATGTCTAACTTCAACCAATCCACGAAGTTGCGCCATCGAACACCATTGTCTTCAGTGAGTTGTTATCTCACAACAGACCTGGTTGAACACCACTGGTGACGGCTTCTCACTAGAACTCCAGGAGTTTTTCCTGAAGTCAGTCACTAGTGAGCAGTTGATTATTATCAGAATGGGTTTTGAGGAGAGTTTTAGAAATTTCACAGGTTGAAGTGCCGGTTCAGTGGTCTAGTGGTTAAGTGTTCGCACGCGAATCCAGTAGGTCATGGGTTCGAGCCCCGCGTAGTGCGGGATCGTGGATGCGCACTGCTGAGGAGTTCCATACCAGGACGAAACGGCCGTCCAGTGCTTCCAGGTTTACAATGGTGGTCTAGCTTCAACTGACACATGATTTCAACCTGTGAAATTTCTAAAACTCTCCACAAAACCCATTCTGAGAATAGCTTTCTATATAGTGTTAAGAAATAGTTTATCTATAATCAATGGAATTTGGGACAGTATACATATAAAAACTAGTAAGTTGATCACAAAATTTATGATCATGCATTCCACTGATTGTTCTTCATATCAGAAGGGTTGTTTGTGAATATTATAGTAAGTTCAATGGTTGAGATCATGAGTCAATGGAAGCTAGTCCACCATGCAGAACCTGGAAGCACTGGACGGCCGTTTCGTCCTATTGTGGGACTCTTCCTAGGTTCGAATCTCACGAGGCGGGATAATGGATGCTCACTGCTGAGGAGTCCCATAATAGAATAGTGGGGAAACATCATACGTAAACGTTAGTGGACAATGTTGTAACTATTATGTGGAACAGTAATTCCTTCATACTATCAGTTAAACATGCTAGAAATCTAGGTTCAAGGTAAGCTTTCGACATATTTAACATTAAATATTCATATTATCAAAGAGGGGTCTTATGGATATTATTGTAATTTGATAGTTGAATTCATGAGTCAATTAAAGCTGGATCACTATAGAAAACCTGGAAGCACTGGAAGGCAGTTTCGTCTTAGTATGGGACTCCTCAGCAGTGAGCATCCACGATCCGGTCCCGCGGGATTCGAACTCAGAACCTATCGGTCTCGTGTGCGAACACTCAGTGGTCTAGAGGTTATTCGTCCGCCTACGAGACCCATAAATATTTCTATGCTTGAATAGTTTTTCATTTTTAATCGGATTATTTAAGCGTGATCTAGTAATATTGATTAAACATTTTTACTCAAACTTTTCATTTATCTGAATAACATAACTCACTACTACTTATAATATTGTTTACTGATTAACTTTCAGTTGTTCATCCACCAACGTTTATCAAGGTGCCACCGTCTATAGCTTATATTAATCCAGAAGAACCTTTATTAATACCTTGTTATGCAAAAGCCAATCCAGAACCAAGGTAAGTAAATATTGAATTATTCAAGGTATTGATCAATACATTTTATTATGGATGTGTTTAATCCAGGTAATTGGAGGTTATATTGATTCAATAGGACCATCATTTCTTATAAGAGAATCTAGGTACGCGTTGGAAATTTCTAACGGAAGAAATATGATACTCAAATTATGCTTCATTTGGCTAGTCGGACAGTACGGATGAAGAGTTTACATTTACTTGACATAGTTGTGATTTGTAATTCGATTTATTAATACAAGTTGTCCATAAAATAAGGGAAGGTTGTACGTGAAAACATGTATTCACAATATGAAACATCTTTTTTCAATGGTAAATAGAATTTAGTCGATTTTTTGATTGAGATCATGAATCAGTCAATGTTGGACCACCATTGAAAACCTGGAAGTACTGGACGGCCAATTCGTTCTATTGTAGGACGTTTAACCTACAGACCACCAAACCGGTCGGTATTCAACGGTGTTAATGTCTAATTTCAATCAATCCACGAAATTATGCCATCATCTTTCATTGTACTGAAGTTGATACCTGTCGTTACCCGACACGAATTAGCTCCATTGTTCATGGCTTCTTACCAGAACTCCGAGAACTCCTTCACGAAGCTAGTCACTAATGAGCACATGGTAATTATCAGTATGGGATTAGGGAGATCATTAAGTTTTTGATTGAGATCATGAATCCTTTGATACAAAGTATCACCTATTTTTCCAAAATTATTTTAAATTATCTTGGTTCTGAACAATTTGAAATATATTTCCAATTAATCTGTCTGACCTTATGAAATATGATAGAGGACATTAGATATCTCACCGTTAAGTTAAGCCATACATATATCATTATCCTATAGCACAATCGGTTAAAGTTGGTTAGATAACCATTGAAAAAGCAGAAAGAAATACGTAGTTGTTTCGGCCTAGTATGGAGTTCCATGGCAGTGAGCATCTACGATCCCGCTGAACATCAAATTTAGTACATTCAAGGCTCTAGCCTTCGAACTACTCATTTAGTATCGAATCTTTTGTAATTTGCACATCAGAAAATTTACATAGCTGAATCACCATCGACCAATGCCATAAATGAGTAGTAACTGTCTCACTTTCTACATAGTTGAACTTAATTGATCACAACTTTTCAGTGGAACTACAGGAATTATTTTATATCAGTCTGGAGTTGTGGAGATTGTTTAGTTTTGATTGAGATCATGAATCGATCAATGTTGGACCACTGTTGAAAACCTGGAAGTACTGGACGGATATCTAGTTCTAGTTTGGGACCCCTCAGCAGTGCACACCAACGATCCTACAGCAAATGGACTCGAACCCAGGATCTTCGATCTCACACAAGAACGCTTAACCTGTAGACCACAACCGACATCCAACTGTGTTAATGTCTACCTTCAAACACTTCAAAAATTTGCACCACCATCCAACATTGTCTTTATTGAGTCACTATCTCATAAAAAACCTAGTCGAACTCCACTGGTCACAGCTTTTCACTAGAACTAGAAGCCAGTTACTAGTGAGCACATAATGATAATTATCAGAAGTGAGTTTTGTGGAGATTATGGTAATTTAATAATTGAATTCATGAGTCAATTAAAGCTAGACCAGCATTGTAAACCTTGAAGCACTAGATGGCTGTTTCATCCTATTATGCGACTCCTAATCTACAGTGCATATATACGATCCCGTTGGCGAGATTCGAACACAGGGCCTTCAGTCTCGTGCACGAACGCTTAACGTACTAGACCACTGAGCCGGTTGGTATCCAACGCTGTTAATGTCTAACTTCGAACAATCAACGATATTGCGTGACCATCTTTCATTGTACTGAGGTAGATACTTATCTCTACCTGACAGGGATTAGCTTCATTAATCACGGCTTCTCACCAGAACTCCGAGATTTTTCTCACGAAGCTAGTCACTAATGAGCACATGGTAATTAACAGTTTAGGGGTTGTGGAGATTGTTAAATTTTTGATTGAGATCATGAACCGATTGATGTTAGACCACCATTGAAAACCTGAAATCACTGGACGGCCGTTTCGTCCTATTCTTCTATAGACTAATGAAATCAAGCACATTTTCCAGTATTCTCCCTCACTCACTCTTTCTCTCTCTCTCTGTCTGTCTCTCATTCGGTCTCATTTCAATTTCCCCTTCATAATGATAATTATTTACATGTTATTTGTCTAATTTATATGCTAATAACATGATAGTAAACCATGTAATGACACATCATTTCATCATGGTGATAAATAATGTTTATCTACCTTTAACAAAAAAACAACAACCTAGTACCTTCTTCTCTATTATCAATCTATCTCATATAAATCAACATCGAATCTTATTCAATTCTATGTTAATGTTTATTTAAGTAGTATTAATAAGTAGACATATATAGTTTAGACTAATATTAACATAAAGTAAATCAACAATGATATTCATTTATTGTTTTGTTCTTTTTTACAATACTAACTGATAGATTACAAGATTATGATTGTAATTTGTCTAGACGTATATTAAATGTACATAGAATAAGTTAAACCAATATAGTGTGTATGATTTATTATGAATAATAAGGTCAAATTTATGAACTTAAAAACAGCACAAGAAAGTGATTATCAAGAATCAGTAGCTAGGTGGATCATATGATAGAGTTTGAAGCGTATGGTACTAGATTCGAGTCCCAGAGTGAACATCAACAAGACTGAGATACGAGTACATCAAGCTGATGAGTCCTAAATAAGACGAAACATGCAACCTCATTTCCACTGATAGCCACCTTTGCTTATAATGCTTGTGAATGAAAACAATAACGAGGCAATATGCATAGGATAAAGATATGCTAATAAGAGAAAAACTGATCAATTGCCATCCTAAACATCAATGGAAAGATTCATATCAAACAATACCAAGTGAATTTCAACTTCATCCCATTGAAAAAGCAAGTGGCATCAACACTCAGTAGCTAAGTCGATCATATGATGGCATTTGGAGCGAATGATACTAGGTTCGAGTGTCAGAGTGAACATCAACTGTGAGATACAGGTACATCGAGCTGACGAGTCTCGAATGGGACGAAACGCGTATGCTGAATTCCACTACTACACACTATCCACGTTTACTTATAAAGACTTTATTCTTAGTATACTTTTAAATACTTATAGCGAAACTGATATGCGAGATGGAAGAAGATTGGCAGTTAAGAAATCAATAACATCGTTTATTATGATACTTTTAAGATTATACAACCCATGGTGCTAAGATATATAAGAATATAAACAGTGAAAGATAGAATGACATTTCTAGTGTCCAATTCGTATTAAGTGTTGCTTTTTTATTGTTTAACCATGAATGACAAATATCATGGATCCTTATGTTTCAATAAGTACAGTATAACTAGAACTTATTTCTCTCCTCATGGTATTTAATCCACATGAATTGTAAGTCAGAATAATCGTTCAGTTTAAGGATTTGTATATTATAAACAGTTCTCATACAACTAAGGTATATGAATTTGTCATTCATTGATAATTATTTCAGTGGTTAAGATCATGAGTAAATTGAAGCTAGATCACCATGGAAACCCTGGAAGAATTGGACGGACCTTTCTTCCTGAAGGTTATTTGTTTATGAGATCGCATATGTTACTTATTAAGGAAATTTGGAATCATTTTTTCAAGTCATCCGTTTTCTTCATTAAACATATGGGAAAGACATTAACAAATTCTATGTACATAGTAAACCTGAAAGAGCTTAACATTGCAAGAATATTTTTGACGAGTATTGGTTGTATTAAGTGTAAACTAAGAGGCTTACGTCTGACTACCATGGAAAACCTAGATATATTAGATGGCCATTTCGTTGTAGCATAGGATTCCTCAGAAGTGAACATCCACGATCCCGCACGTCGCACTCGTACTCAGGACCTTCAATCTCAGGGGTGAACGTTTAACTTCTACACCACTGAGCCGGCATCCAGCAGTATTATTATCTATAGTATAGTATCAATTCATGATACTGCTCGATATGCTAATAAGAACGAGACTGATCAATTGCAATCCTAAACATCAACAGAAAGATTAAATAAACCAATGCAAAAAAACAACAAATTTTTACTTGATTCACTTGGTGTTGTTTTACTTGTATCCTCCAATCGATGTTTAGGACTGTAATTGATCAGTCTCTTATTGGCATACATGCATCCTTTGTGTATTGCCTAGATATTGCCTTAAGTCACATGCTTTATATGCAAAGAAGAATGGTGGTTACCAGTTGAATCCAGGACTCTTGTTTCGTCCTATTTTCGGACTCATCAGCTGGATGTACTTGCATATCACTTGTATATTAAACTATTCTATTTTAATTTATCCTTGAATCCACTATAATTTTAACAAACAGAATGTACTATTCAAGTAATTTCTATCAAAGCATAGTTTCAATGTTTGAGATCGAGTCAATTGGAGCTAAACCACCATGGGAAGCCAGGAAGCGCTGGATGACTGTTTCGTTCTATCGTTGGACTCCTCATCAGTGCGCATTTACGATTCCGCTTCGCGAGATTTGAACCCAGTATCTATCAGTCTCATGCACGAACGCTTAACCTCTAAAATCCAACGGTATTAACGTCTAACTTCCATCGATCCATGATTGGCTATATAACTATTCGTCCATTGTCTGGGGTAGATACCTGTCTCTATCCGATACAGACTAGCTCACAACTTCAAACTACACCTCCAACAATCACCTCTTGAATCTAATCACTAGTAATCATATGATGCATACTGCTGATGAGTTACATCCTAAGACAAAACATCCGTTCACTTCTTCTAAATGTTCAATCATAATCTAACTTAGATTGACTCATCAATTCAACGATTCAAATTACTACAATCTCCACAAATCCCCTATTCTAATCAAACTATGTAAAGAATAACAAAAATTGATTATAAGTAGTATACATGAATTTTCATTTACCTCACT